TAGTAAGCTCTTGTTCATTTTAATACTGCAAAACTGATGTAACTCTGAGAAGGCAAACTGGCTTCCAGAGTGCATCCTAGGACATCAGCCCACTGACAGGTTCTGTAGGATCACTGGGGTTTCAGGCCATGAGATTGTCATTCATTTCCATAATGCTGGGAAAATTACAAGACTGGCAGTTAGATAATAATATTTAAGTAACATATTTGCAAAATATATAAAATGATATTTTAATATTGGTAAATAGACAAATTTTGCTTTCCTTAGCGGTTGGTGATCACCCACCAATGATATTATCTGATTAAATTAAACAAAATTGTATGCACACACAGGACCTCATCCATGAACACGTGTTCACCCAACCTTTATGTCTCCATGTATTAGTTAATATTTGTAACACGTTTCTAAATCAGACAAACTCGTTAGGGCTGAAAACAGCTATTGTTTCTGGGGCCAGTTTATCAGCCCACTGCGGTGCTGGAGTGCCACCTAGTGAGGTTCTTCCTTACAACAGCCTGGTGTGAAACATTTCAACCCCCCCCAGTTTCAGGCTTTCTTTTATCAGTTCTTCTTATCGTTTCTTTCCAGTGTCCGCAAGGTTCATTTTACACTTCCCAGAAGACATGTGCTGTCATGGTCCCTGCCCCAAATTGTTTACATTCTCCTGGGTGATGTTATGATATTTTACTCTCTTTATTTATATCTCTGCCATAGACCGTAAATCCTTACGCTCAGGAACCAATGGCTTATCATTTTCATGCCACTACAGTTTAAAACATGCATTAAATTAACTGCCTGAGGATTGTGCCCTCAGATAAATCAGTGAGCAAATATTTCTTCTCTAGTAACCCTTTCTGCACTCACACAAACACACTCCACTGATGCAAACCTCTCTTACACCGCTGAAGAAAATTCTCATTCTGCTTATGTACATGAGGTATGGGTGTCTCTTGAACAAAGTTAGAAATTCAGGGAAATAAATAAGAATATTTTCAATGAACTGAAACTCTCTGGATCTGGCTTGTCCCTGCTGTTAATGGAGAATATTATTTATTTTTTCTTCTTCTCTGGCTGTTGGAGTTTTTTGCTCTTTCTAGCAGAAAGATTTATCCAGAGCTGGGAACATAGGCTCAGCTTGAAAGGGACCATTAAAAATTGATCCCATTTCAAGAGCTTCATCTTGTCTAGAGGTTCAGTCTATGCCATAAGTGCAGCATTTATAGCCATGGCAGTCACAATGCTATAGCAGGGTGGCAGATGTGGTTATTTCCACTTTACTGATGAATGTAAAGCAAAGGAGATTTTAAATGGCTCATCTCAAGGGACAGGAAATTCCTGCCAAGGTCAGAAACCCAGATACCCTCTTGCGTGTCAGTCCAGCTCCTTGGTCATGAACCTGTTGAGGTATTTTATATGTTTGTTGCAGAATTAATTTAAAGTAAATATTTGAGTTTTGTCAGATTTGTGTCCCGTTTGCACTTAAAACTGCACTATGTGTTGTGGTGTTTTCAGGCATGGTGGCTGGCTTATAGAAAATGATCATTGGCATAAGTTCTCATAGACTCCTAACACAGTCACCCTAATACGTCTGCACTGCAGTTAGAGGTGCATCTATCATGATGGTGAGCTCATTGATTTTGAATGAATTTAGTCCAAATAGCATTTGTCATAAAGACCAGCCTATACAGCCACGCTTCAGAGGGTCCCACAGGGAACAAACCACCAGGAGTTTGAAAAGAAGAAGCTCATGGCAATGCCTCAATAAATGGGTATCATTTTTAGACACATTTATGCAACAGCAACTCACAAGGGCAAACATGAACCTACAGCACAAAGGTAACTACCTCACTTCCTATGTTTCCACTCCTATTTTGTTGTTGAGACCATAAAAAAGAGAATAATAAATATCAAGGTTGTATATTTAAGGGGCAAATGTGAAGGATTTTCCATTATATATCTACACATATTTATTTATTTATTTTTAATGCTGAGCATATCCCCTTGCCCCAGCAGTTTTTTGTTAGCAAAATTAAAATAATGCCATTTGATATTTATTTACATGTGTAGTTGTTTTGGTTTAAAGGTCTAAAAGTTTGGTCCTCTGAGACTCCGAAATCCTAATGTCAGGGAATGTATTGTGATCATTTTATGTAAGCATTATCAGTACAAAAGAAAGTGAGGAAAAGGAAGAGAGGAAAACCCAGAAACTTTATTTTTTTATTAGAAGTGTGATTCAAAATGATTGAAACTATGTTTTAGCATGTGGGATATTTTATAAATTAAGGGAATACATTATAAAATGTGCATTATTCTCCAGGTGTAATGGTAAAATCAGGCCATTTGAAAGCATCCATTTGAAATTGCCAATATTGCCACTCATCAGTAAAGTGAAGTGCTACAATTCAGCCTTGATTAAACCAGGAAGACAAAAAGTTTTCCAATGTCAGTGTTAGTTTCAAGTGGCACTTGAAGGTCACAACCAGCACCCGTTTGGCTCGGTCGTGTGCCAGTGGTACGGGACGTTCCCTGCCCTAGGAAGCCATCAGATGAAACAGTCTGTGGAGACAGAAACATCCATGTCCGGGGTGTGCTGGGAGCGGAGCAAGGAGCAGTGTCTGACAGTCAGCGCTGCTCTCCTGGAGGAGGCACCTCCTGTGCCCCCGCTCCAGGCCACAGACGAGCTGGAGGGAATGGTGAGGTGCCAGGAAGCCCAAGGCGGGCTGCGGGTGGAATCGGTGCCTCAGATCCACGCAGATCCCCTCGTACCCCCTCCCACAAGACCCTGCCTCTCTGCGTGCCTTGCAGGGGCGTTTGGGCCTTCCCGCTGAGCTGCTGCTGCACCTCTCTGACCCCACAGCTCCTGTGCCAGGAGGGAAACAGCCCTCCGTGTCGTCGATTAAAAGCCCCGACGGCTGAAATGTCAACAGCAAGACGGGCAGGTTGGGAGGCAACAGGGACAGAGTGACCAGGGCCTTGCGCGGAGACGCCGCGGGTC